GAACTGTTCAGATAGCAAATTCCCTTCTCGGCCGTCATGTAATTGCCATGTCATGCAAAAGCTTAGAAATTCAAGTAAATTCAATAAGTTCACTTTGGCTTTACTTGTAAGTTTAGTGTAGTGTTGTACAACTCCTTCTTTACTACTCAATTTTTAGGTTCATATGGTTCACTTGCAAGATTTCGTGAGGTTTCAAGGCTCATGTTTGTTGGTCGTAACACAGTAATAGGTGGTTCAGGGGATTATGCTGATTTTCAATACCTCACATCAGAACTGGAACAAAAAGTGTAAGTCTGCTATGGCAGGTTAAGTTTCTTTTGGTACCACCTATGTAGTTTCTTCTCACCTTCAAGAGGAACTGCATGTATACACATGTAAACCTGTATGTAAACACTATGTATAACAGTACTCTAAATTTTTCTACAATACATGTAATTTTTATCTGCTTAAAATGAGAGTTTACAAGTGAATGCCATTGGTACATGTATCCTGAATGCCTTTTGTCAACTACTAAAATTCAAAATAATGTCGTCCTCACCACTGCAATTATTTGGTATAATTACAATCAAATACAAGTATTGTCCTGAGTGGTCTATATTTGTTGGTTTTCCATAGTCAATTGAATTCTTCTAAAGCGTTATTTTAATTTTCGTGTGTTTTTTTTTTTTTTCCTGTTATAATTATTTTTGTATTTAGCCTGCATGGCAGGCACTTGGAAGTGATGGGTGCAAGAAAGAACAGGGTGCATGAGAGAGACACACGACGGGGGACTAGGGAGCACCTGCCTGAGAGGCCCACAAAAATCATTTGCCGCCCCCAGTCCAATTACCTGGCAGCCACTGCATGATCTGTCAAAAATGTTTGACAGAAAACAATTGACTTTACACAAGCAAAGCGTGCCAAAGTGTTGTACATTTATATCCTTGGTCTATCTGATGTAAACATCAGCAAGGTTATCTGATTTTAGAGTGACGGATTAATAAACTGATGAAAACCACAGCATTAAATCATTTTTAACCAAAGGCTCAATAAATACAAAAAAACAGAGTCAAAAATGGATATTGTTTAAAAAATGCATGCTGTATATTATGAAAAGCTAAACATTGTTCTCTGAGATTACAAAGTCACAACTGTACAGACACTTAAGATCACAGCATACCTGGGAAATGACCATTGGAACAGACATGTCTTACTAAATGGACCTAAACTTCAGAACACAAACTGTACTGAGATATTTTTGTTGGCTGCAATAATGAGAAATTAAAATCAGACATCAGATCACCTTCTAGCAAACAACAACAATAGCGAGGGTTTTTCAAATTCAAGCCCCTCAGTGGTAAGTGTTTCATTTCATCAGTCCTGTCCAGGTCTTGAGGATGTGTGTTCCATTGAGAATGCTAAATTGTCAAGTTCTTTTTGAACAAAAAATCTTTCCTTTGAGATGTGACAAATTTTTTGTCTGCCATGGCCTAATGCGTATTATTTGATGTCAAACCGTTCCTTTGTGAAAACCGTTTGTTCCGTTTGTTTGGAAATATCTGCACTCCCAGAAAGCAAGTTGAGACAATTTTTGTGGGCCTCACGGGCAGGCGCCACTTCTCCCCTCATGTGTTTCCCTCATGTGCCCCATTCTTTCTTGCGCCTACTACTTCTAAAGCACCTGCTACCCAGGCTATTCTATATCAGATACATGCAAGAGAGAATGAGCTAAGAGACTGAGTCCCTGATACATGACCCTCTTCCCATGAAAATTATTTTAAATCTATTCTTTGATCTATGTCATACTGCTTGGTTATTTTAAGGAGGCCACCTTATGGTTGGTTAGAGTGGTGTCATGTAATTTTGAACTTGGCCGGTAATTCATTTTTACTGCCAATCATGCACAGCAACCTGTATGACATGCCAACTTGGTATTACTTTCACGGACATGTCAAAAGATTTCTTCATTGAAAAATTTTGCCAGAGTAGCTGCCAACAAGGAAAACGACAGTGGCTTGCAAGAGTTGCTGGAGAAAGCGGTTTTGACTTGACAAAAACTGCCCATTGTAGTCTTTGCTACATCAGTATATATATATACGTGTAAATAACCAACAACCTTGAGTAAGTGATACTATTGTAAATGAGAGCTGTCCCTTCTGGCAATGTCCATGCACACCTGTGAGATGTATCAATACCGTTGTTTGGATCCAAACATGGACATGTAACAAGAAAACAGGGTTAAACTACTAAGTGTGTTCAAACATGACATATTTGGCTGCCAAACATTTTAATTTTGAGAGGGCGTTACACAAATGTTCAAGAACAATGTAGGTGCACTGCTCACTATATAGAAGTATTGACTGAAACAGGAAACTGCGCATGAAAAGTCTTTGGCATCGAGGTTACCAACTGTTTAACAGCTTGAGGCATCTGAACTGATTTGTGTTTGCACAGCAAAATATTCATCACAAGTATTACGTATCAAGAAGAAGTAACGCAGTTTGAAACTCTCAAGAATTATTCTTAAAAGCGAGTTTGCTGTTTCTGAATGAGAAGTGTTCCAGGAAACAGAGGAAAAAATATCTTGTACATTTGCATAAACAACTGAAGCCAGCCACTTATTAAGGTTTTGTATTTCACACATGATAACTTTTGCCTTCAGTTTTCATGGTGTACATTCAATATTCGTTACTGTAAATGAGGCCACCAGCTGTTAGAAAATCTCAATCTTTAATCTGAAAGTGAAATTTTGACTCCAATACTGCAATCCATTCTAAATGAAATGACTTGTTTTCCCAACCAATGGGTGGAACGTGCCAGCTAATAAAGAAACATTGCAACAACTTAAACTTTTGGCATGCCAATTGCTATAATGGATGTCAAACTTCAAATGTTTGACAGCAAAATATGTCACATTCATGTAAACGAAGACTGTGCAGGTCATGAAAACAGCAGACAAAAATAGCCTTCACTATGCATATGCAAACTTTCAATAGATTTCAAATAGTTATCATAGGTAACATGCAAAGAAAGTGGTGTCCGATAGCCCGGGGCCAGTGGATTTTGCTATCGGGCTAGTGGAAAGTGAAGTTTTTTGAGGAATTTGAATAACAGAAGAACTGTGAAATCAATTCTGCTCGTCAAAAAGCTTTTGGGGCTAGTTGAAATGACGTCTGGGCTAGTAAATGCTAACTTCAGCTTGCCCGAAAGGCAAGCTATAAAAATGATTTTCTTTGCACCCTGATAGGGCACAGGGATTCGCTCTCTTTAGCTCATGCTCTCTTGGTACATGTAGTGTGATTGTTATTGTATCATAGGTATGACAAGGAAATGTTTTTCTATTACATCAGCATATGGTTGTAACCTTAAGGATTCTTTCAAGTTGAATTGAAGGGCTCCATGCAAATTATTATTGTCTTACCCCATGCCTACTTTTTGAGAGGTAACCAAATTGTTATATTAATTTTGACTCCCTTGCAGTATTGATNAAAAGCTTTTGGGGCTAGTTGAAATGACGTCTGGGCTAGTAAATGCTAACTTCAGCTTGCCCGAAAGGCAAGCTATAAAAATGATTTTCTTTGCACCCTGATAGGGCACAGGGATTCGCTCTCTTTAGCTCATGCTCTCTTGGTACATGTAGTGTGATTGTTATTGTATCATAGGTATGACAAGGAAATGTTTTTCTATTACATCAGCATATGGTTGTAACCTTAAGGATTCTTTCAAGTTGAATTGAAGGGCTCCATGCAAATTATTATTGTCTTACCCCATGCCTACTTTTTGAGAGGTAACCAAATTGTTATATTAATTTTGACTCCCTTGCAGTATTGATGATGCTTGTTTGAATGATGGACATGGATATACACCCAAGTCAATATATTCTTGGTTGACAAGAGTCATGTACTACAGGTAAAGGAAACTTTCTCATTACTTGTTTTTACTTACTGCTCTATCATAACCACTACACAAAAACTAGCAGATGTCTTGCAAGATTTACACTTGAGTGTTTGTTGTAGCTAGATTTTTAGAGTCTTGCTGATACTATGTTTGTCCACCTCTAAGGGGCACCATCGTGATTTCCTCAAACTAACAGAAAATTTTGTTGTTGTGTTTTTATATGAAAGGGAGCAGTCATAACTCAAGAGCTTATAGACGTTGAAATTAATGTATATTTCAATACAAGGAGTGTTTAGAAAGCAAAAAACTCAAGAGCACAGCCATTTGTTTACCTACAGTGTATGTGGCCATTTTTAGTGTTGTTGACACAAAGGCCTTTGAATTCAATATAATAAAAAAGAGATTCTCATCAAACTGAAACTATGTAAAAAGATAGTGTTCATATGTTCAAACATAATAAAACTACTGTACAAACTCAGAAGGACTGATAATTATTACTGTAAAATTTGATTATGCCACATACATGTGCATGTACAAACCAGCGATATTTATCAAACAAATACAGCTGTATATTTGACAAATTAAGATATTATCAGTTTTTCATTAGATTTTTTTTTAAAATTAATATGTTTATTCTGCATAGGCGTACCCGCTTTGATCCTTTGTGGAACCAGATTGTTGTGGGTGGTGTCCACAATGGTGAAAGGTAAGATTAGTTTATAAGGTATTTTAATTTACTACTGTGCTTAATAATGACCTTTATTTACAGTGTGCATCATAAACGTGTTAACTTGATAAGCCTCAGAGTTGTTTATTTCTTGTTGTATGCTCTTAGTTTTCTAGGTTATGTTGACAAGATTGGTGTTGCTTTTGAGGCACCAACAATATCCACAGGATTTGGAGCTTACCTGGCACAGGTGAGGATAGTTTTAACAAAAAAAAAAATGTTTGTAGCCGTTTCCTTGATCTTAGGCTACCCAAAGTCAAACTAGAGAAGAAGTCGTAAGTCCAGACTGGGTCACTAGTGTTGTAAGGGAGGCTTAATTGAATATAGCATCATTGAAACCCCAGCCAGACCAACACTCAGGGTCTTTAAACAACCGAGGAGAATGGGCTGTCCTGTTCTGACATCTACAAAATAATTGTTAGACATTCTAGTCTCTCAGATGAGGACAAAAAATTAGAGACATTTTCTCACAGCTCTTTCACTGTTCTGATTCTTGTGTGACGTCATAAAGACCCCTTACTGCTGTTCGTAAAGAGTAGGGAACATAGACTCCTGTGGTGCGGACAACTTTTCATGGGCTTGGTGGGTTATAATACATGCGGTTCATACATTTTGCACCAACGTCCTGTTTCATCCCTCGTGACAGTGACAAATTTCTGTAATAAATAATTAAATAGAATATAGATTTATAACAAAGTCAGCAGTCCATCTCTAAATAGAGATGGGGGTAAAGTCGACCTTCACTGATCTGGACAAGGCTGATCAGGTCACAAGTCACATGACATATTCAATCCACGGTGAACAAGGCTTTAGCAAAGTTGAAAGTTCAGAAATGTTTTCTCAGTGTAGTGACTAAAATTTATATGGCTTCAAGCGTAATAGGAAGTCCCAAATTTATCATGCAGAAGAAGTCACATCATGGTATATGTAATTCTTCCTAAGACTCAAGGTTACATGCATTTGGACTTGCTCTCTGCTGAGTAACTTGTATCACAAACAAAATCTGTTCCACCTGTCTGTCAAGGAAGATGCAGGCTATGAGTCTATCAATCCGTTAGAACTCTAAGCAACTACATGTTCATGTGTGTATGATAATTATACACACAGCTTGTGCCAGAAGTGTGGATTTAGTTTTTGCACACACAATGTACTTCCCAGTAGTCAAGGAATAGTTGTGGAATTTATGGGCTATAGATTCAAAAATGAGGGATGGCAAGTCAAGGTATTATTATCATCATAAAAATTCCTGTTGAAGTTTACTTGTACTATATAATTACGGAGATTTTCAATCTAGCTTGTCTTGTTATACGCAGCCAATTCTTCGTGATGCCTTTGAGAAGAACCCTGGCATGTCTCTTGAACAGGCACGGCAAGTGATAGTCAACTGTCTACGAGTTTTGTTTTACAGAGATGCGAGATCTCTAAACAAGGTGTGTACGGTTATTATTCGTTTGCACATGTCATGTCATTAGGGCTTATTCCTTCGGCAGATACCAACAGTGCTTAATGTGTACTGTACTCCTAACAAGATACTGATTAAGATGTTCATGTATTGTCGCTTTTTTCTTTAAAATTCTCCACCACTGAACCACAGAGTATCCAGTCTCTTGTATTTTTTCCCTAACTAAGTAGCTGAATTCTTATACCTGCCGGATAATCAGCGTTTTTTTCATTGACAGGCACATAACTAGACTATAAATGAACCGATTTTCAGGTACAGAGACCGGGAGCCCTAATATGGGGCGGGAGTGGTGCGGGAGACCGGAAATAAAAGGGAAGAAATTGGACATGAAAATTGACAAAGTAAATATCAATTAAATAAATAGTTTCGCACGAATGGAGTCCGCTTGAGTGTTTAGCGTGGGTCTTTTACCTCGGATGAGTGACATCTCGAAAATCAGACACTCTAGTTTTCCTCGGCATTTCTTGAGGATTTTAAAGTTTTCACCAAGGTTTACCTGCTAAACATCGTGTTTCTTGATGAATGTTTGCCAAGTACCGAATGTTTATATGTTCCTCTACACGTTGATGAAGGTGACGGCGCGCGTTCATGTATCCTACATACATGCACTTTTCGCACGTTCTTTTTGTATAAAAAAATTATATATTTCCTCGAATGATGTTAATTTCTTATCTTTTGATAATGATGAAGCAAACATGAAGCCATAGAAACGTAAATGCTTTTTTTATTGATTTTTGTTTTAAAATGGATATCTTTAAGCGCAGCGCGTGAGACTATTTACATCTCGACGGTTGTATCGAAACGACTTGAACAAAACGACCTAAAACCGCGATAGTTGGTTATTTATTTATTCATTTTTTTATATAATATTTTAACGTTATTAATGTAATTTTATAGTGAATATTTATTGTAAATATTATTAAATGTAATCTTAAGCTTATTAAATAGATTTTATTAACTAGTTGTCCCCGATTAGTAGGCTAATAAAAATGTTCATTCATTCATTCAGTTGGGCAGCGGCCATTTTAAGAATGTTGCACAAAGTGTCTTTTCCCCTTGCGACCAATGTTTTATGTCTGGCGACCATTTTGTAATTTTTTATTTTTATAAAAGCCATCTTTGCTAAAAGTTGATCTTTGAGGCACTGCGATAGCCAATCTGATTGGTTACTGAAGGTTTCGATACAAAGTCGTCTTTCAATACCAGTCGTTTTGATGCAAGGGTTTTTATTTTAAATTAAAGTTCCTTGTAAGTGGGGAGGAGGGTGGTATGAATATCTGGAACTACACAATGGCAATTATCCGCTCAATTTAAATTTAAAGTTTGCTGATGGTTAATATTTCAGTATGAAGTTGCTGTTATCACTAAGGGTGGTGCAGTTATTGAACCTGCTGCAAGTGCGGACACAAACTGGGACATCGCCCCATTGGTTAAGTATGTTCAAACCTCTTCTTTTTCCAGTTCTCTTATGGCATAGGTGGGGGAGGTGGGGGAGCAAGGGGGGGGGGGAAGGTTTGGTCAACGGACAACGTCTGGTTAAGATGCTCATTTTTCTGGACAAACGATTTTTGACCGGAAACGTTCACTCTTGACGGATTTGAATGTATTTATTCGGAGTTCTGCTTTCCATGTACGCCTTTTCTGCTGGAGGAATTATATTTTTGCTTCTTAAGATATTACGTTTAAAGCTCCTGGTTTAAATCATTATTGTACTGCTTTTAATATTTTGGACATGACTGGTCAAGAAAGAGACTTGACCAAGCTGAGATTCCTTTGGCCGGGCCATTAAGCCCTGTGTGCATTGTAAAATTATGAATCTTGTTAAAATCCTTCAAACTACAAGATGTATGGATAAAGTTTATCAGGATTGATGAAGTGTAGTGAACTTAAAGGAGCTGTGTCACAAAATTCACGAAATTCAAACAGTGGGTACTGCCACCAAATTGTGTGGAACATAAAAATAACCGCTCAAAAAAATACAAAATACAAAATACAAAAGAAGTCACAGATGGACAAACTTCACCTGCTGCTTCTGAAAGCTTGTTAGCCTAAAAGTTTTTCGAAGTTTATTCTTTTTGTTATGTTTGATAATTACAGTGGTAGGGAGACATATTTCTTTGACCTGAAGCTGTGATTTTTTAATTTAACAATAATTTCGTTACTAACGTTAAGTTCCGTTGCAAATAAGGAGGTGTAAATGGCAATATAAGCAAAATGAACCCAGACAGCCGTGAAACAGACCCTTTAATAGAGTTTTCAATTAAATAGGCCCTTCTCTCAGAAGGTATTCGACTTGGCTGAATTATCCTTGAAGTTTGTCCGCTTTTCTTAAAGGCTTACCTTTAAACGTACCAACGGTTGGACTTGATCACCAGACAAATCAAATACTGAAACTAGTTTTGTTTTTTTCAACGGTTAAAAATGCATCGCGGTCCTACCAAGTGGCGTTGACCGTTTTCCTTTATCAAACGCTTAGAACGTCCTTTTTAGCAAACTTCTTGAAGGTTAAATAAATAAACGGTGTCGGGGGTATTTATAAAGTAGGGAGCTTAAGCAACCACTGCGACGAGGGCAGTGAAAACGGCAATGAAAACAAAAAAATGAATTTCGTTCTATCAAACTTTAGACCGCCCCATTTGTCAAATGTGGGTGATTTTTCCTGGAGTTGAATTCCTGAGAACTTTATCCAGGTTAAAAAAATGAAGGGAGAATTCATCCTCGTGTGTTCACGTCCTCCATAAAACGTCGCATAAGGAAGTTCCACGTTCTAGTCGTACAGTGGACGTCAAGGAAAAGTACTAACTGAAGCGTGATGCACGTGCAGAGCTGATGTTATCGTTGCCATGGTCGTCGTTGTTGCTCACTTAGCTCCCTACTGTATCATACTATAAACAGTAAGGATGAAGGATGTTAATCACAGCTTTAAAGTACTAGTTGGCACANTATGGATAAAGTTTATCAGGATTGATGAAGTGTAGTGAACTTAAAGGAGCTGTGTCACAAAATTCACGAAATTCAAACAGTGGGTACTGCCACCAAATTGTGTGGAACATAAAAATAACCGCTCAAAAAAATACAAAATACAAAATACAAAAGAAGTCACAGATGGACAAACTTCACCTGCTGCTTCTGAAAGCTTGTTAGCCTAAAAGTTTTTCGAAGTTTATTCTTTTTGTTATGTTTGATAATTACAGTGGTTGGGAGACATATTTCTTTGACCTGAAGCTGTGATTTTTTAATTTAACAATAATTTCGTTACTAACGTTAAGTTCCGTTGCAAATAAGGAGGTGTAAATGGCAATATAAGCAAAATGAACCCAGACAGCCGTGAAACAGACCCTTTAATAGAGTTTTCAATTAAATAGGCCCCTCTCTCAGAAGGTATTCGACTTGGCTGAATTATCCTCAAAGTTTGTCCGCTTTTCTTAAAGGCTTACCTTTAAACGTACCAACGGTTGGACTTGATCACCAGACAAATCAAATACTGAAACTAGTTTTTTTTTTCAACGGTTAAAAATGCTACCAAGTGTGAAAAGTGGCGTTGACCGTTTTCCTTTTTCAAACGCTTAGAACGTCCTTTTTAGTAAACTTCTTGAAGGTTAAATAAATAAACGGTGTCGGGGGTATTTATAAAGTAGGGAGCTTAAGCAACCACTGCGACGAGGGCAGTGAAAACAAAAAAATGAATTTCGTTTTATCAAACTTTACACCGCCCCATTTGTCAAATGTGGGTGATTTTTCTTGGAGTTGAATTCCTGAGAACTTTATCCAGGTTAAAAAAATGAAAGGAGAATTCATCATCGTGTGCTCACGTCCTCCATAAAACGTCGCATAAGGAAGTTCCACGTTCTAGTCGTACAATGGATGTCAAGGAAATGTACTAACTGAAGCGTGATGCACGTGCAGAGCTGATGTTATCGTTGCCATGGTCGTCGTTGTTGCTCACTTAGCTCCCTACTGTATCATGCTATAAACAGTAAGGATGAAGGATGTTAATCACAGCTTTAATGTACTAGTTGGCACAAACGACAAGGAAACTGGGACGAGTTAACTTTCGCAAAGATGTCTGGGACTGTTACTAGGGAAGGCGGGAAAAATTAACCAATAGCTGTCCAGCACGTTCCCAGTTCCCAGAAACAATTGCGGGATGTATTTCGGCGCCAGTTCCCCCTCTCGTTTCTAAAGTGGCGAATTATGCCTCTTTCTGTCGTTCGACCGCAATCAATCGGTCTGTCGACTCAGTTGACTGCATAACTGACTTCTGTCTTTTCCCGACTTTATTTACAGAGGTTACGAGTAACAGCCCAAAACTTTGGTTATCTTTTATTTAGTGTTAATGTCTAATTTCTTGTGCCGGTGTAATATATGTGTGTGTAAAAACCGAAAATAAAGGATTCCTTCATTCCGGTTTTGAGGTTTTCTGCTTATACTCAGCATGTTCGTTTTTAAGGGTGAGTGGGTGGAATGAGTTGACAGTGGGCGAAACAGAAATTGATTTGTCTTTGGTTCGACGTTTTTCGTTTATTCACTTGAAGCTCAGGTTCTTGATTTATGTTAGATTGCCAAATGACTGGACACGATTTTCCGCATGTTCGAGGGTCCTCATTATTCACACTCCTCATTTGCTACATTCCACTCTTTTCCACACTCCGCGCTCTGTACTCTGTACGTCTCATTTTCCACCTAACCAATGCAGGTTTATTTTTAGGGCGGGCGGATTAAAGTTGCTCGATGACGATCGTATTTCCTTGGCAGCCATCTTTGATTTTATGTTATAATAAGGTTCGGATATAATGCGCACTCTGATTGGCTGGAAAAGCGTGCTTTATGAGAGTATAAAACACGGAGCTAAAGTTGTCACGCCATCTGCCAATAGTTTGGTTTGAAAATTAGAAAGTAATGCGTGGGTAATTTAAAGGAGTATTTAATATAAAACAAGTAAAGAAGCCTTGGCTGTGCTCTTGTTCTGTTGTAAAGCACGCAGGAAGCGGCTAGAGTACTCAAGAAGTAGGGAGAAACACTCGACTACGTCTCTTGTTTTCCCCTACACATCTTTCGTGCTCTATCCGCTTCCCGCGTGCTTTACAACGGAACAGAGCACAGTCAAGGCTTCTTGATTGTTAAACAGATGATAAAAATTGGAGAGTAGAAATACATGTAGCCATTTGGCGCCATGTTTATTAGCGCCAAAATGTCCTGATTCTGGGACTGCTTCACCTAATGCTTGTGACAACAAGACTTAACATCGTGGATAATAGAAAGACTTTCTATATCTTTTCTTTATCTTTCTCTTTCTCCTATTTGCCTGGGCACGGCTAAAATGAGTTTTGCAACATTCAGGGCATATTATCCGACTTATCGGAACCCCGTTATGTTTGATTTAAATTATTTGTTTCAGTCATTTTCTCGGCTCCCCTAGTATTAGACAAGTGCTCTAAATATGGTCGAGGGTAAATACGGAAAATTTTGTTTATTTTATTATTATGTTTGTCTATGAAGCAGTGTTTTTTTTCCTTTTCGCGCACGCCCTCAAGCCAAAATATGGACTTCTTTGGCAAATCGATTTACATATTTCTTTCAATTCTGGCCCTCTTTTCCCCCTTTGCCTTTCCTTTTTATATCCAGTTTTGTTGCCCAATTTATCGTCTTTCTTTCGCATGGATCTGTGGCTGGCTAACCTTTTAGAAAAGGGACAAGTTTAATCTGCAGAGACAAGTAAGTAAACAGCGAAATTGGCAGTCGATTTTTCCCCAATATATTACTGGTTTTTCGTGTACAACGTTGTCAGGATTGGTAAGAATTTCCAAAACAAGGTACTGGCGGAAAGATCTACCTTTGCTGACGTTTCTGCTTAGCAACTTAAAAGTCTAAGGGCCCGAAATCAAAAATTCAAATCGAAATATATAGAATAAGAGCAGGGGTTCTGGCAAGCAAACTAGCCCATTCTATTTCGTAACTGANTTTGCAACATTCAGGGCATATTATCCGACTTATCGGAACCCCGTTATGTTTGATTTAAATTATTTGTTTCAGTCATTTTCTCGGCTCCCCTAGTATTAGACAAGTGCTCTAAATATGGTCGAGGGTAAATACGGAAAATTTTGTTTATTTTATTATTATGTTTGTCTATGAAGCAGTGTTTTTTTTCCTTTTCGCGCACGCCCTCAAGCCAAAATATGGACTTCTTTGGCAAATCGATTTACATATTTCTTTCAATTCTGGCCCTCTTTTCCCCCTTTGCCTTTCCTTTTTATATCCAGTTTTGTTGCCCAATTTATCGTCTTTCTTTCGCATGGATCTGTGGCTGGCTAACCTTTTAGAAAAGGGACAAGTTTAATCTGCAGAGACAAGTAAGTAAACAGCGAAATTGGCAGTCGATTTTTCCCCAATATATTACTGGTTTTTCGTGTACAACGTTGTCAGGATTGGTAAGAA